CCCAGCGCACCCCGCCCCCGTGTCGCACAACCACCATGGTGGCCGAAATCGCAGAGCTCCCCGTCTTTCTGTGTCCCAACAAGCTCAACGCCAGTTCCGCGGTGTCCGCAGCATGAAGGAACTCAACGAGACTGCTTCCCTCACAGCCTTCCGAACCAAGTTCGAGACCAGTCGATCCTTTGACCTTGAAGATGACATGGAGTTCTGTCCTGGTCTGTTGACCGAGACTGACGTGAGTTATCCTGTCGCTGTGTATGTCGGCGCATCAATCTGACCTGTTGTTCGCAGTTGGTCTCCATCTCAAGCGCATCTGAGCGTTCCTCATTAGCCAGCAACTCTCCCGACTCTTCTCCCACGCAACATCCCAACACTGTTGCTCCTGGCTTCTCTCTCAACTCAACATCTCCCGCCTTCATTCCTCCTGCCTACCAGCAACAGCCCAGCATGAAGCTTCATCAGCCCTCCGCCACCCGTGGTCGTAATGCCATTCCAATCATTAACCCCGCTACTGGCATTACCATGTCGAGCCCTCCTCAGTCAGTGTCGCCTGGCAGGATGCAACAGTCGATGCGTCGGTGGTAAACCGCACCAGGTCGCTAACCATGCACTCGCATGGGTCGACCAGTTTGTCGTATCACCGGCGATGCACCTTGAACTGTAATTGCTACCGTTCGTTCTTGGCAGCTGTTCATCTTGGCGGGCATATTGACCTATCGAGACTTGATCTTGGCATCATCTTATCAATTGAGCTGGTTTCCTCTTAAGCTTTCGAGGCCAATCGCTTGACGCGATTGACCCCACTGTTGGCGACAACAATTTCGACAACCATCACTTTTACTATCCCCCTGTATAAACATCCCCTAATCGACATACCTCTTGTTTCACCGACAAGTTTATGAGGATAATACTGGCACGGCATGATAAAGAACGATACCATTTTCGGCTTGGTTACTCTGTTAATTTTTGCAACAAATCAAATACCTAGGGTTGGGTGTCCGCCTCGCAAGATGGGGCTGCAAGACACGAACGGGCGTTTTTCTGCATTTTAAGACGACATTGCATAGGTGTTGGGCGGCACTATAATCGGATTTTCTCGGCATCAACTGTTTTCATTTTTACATGGGAGGCATGGGTTGGCCTTTCCATTCATACCAAAATGTCTTCTCTCATCGCGGTCATGGGTTATGAAGTCAACAAGAGAAAAAGAACAACATAGAAGGGAGTGCTTTTCGCAAGCGGGGTCTTTATCGGTGTTATTTGATCGGTCGCATCTTGGAAATATCTATGGGCGGTGGTCAGGATCGAGACGAACGGTGTTTTTGCGACAACTGATATCCCGTTACGGGACGGAAATCTGGGAAATTACGGGGAGTTGGTCGAATTTTTGGTGTTGTCCCGCTGCTGCAATGAACGGGAACGAAAAGGTCTACCCTTGCCCATTCTTTTCTTTGTATCATCTTGGGACGGCCTATATATTTGTCCTCTTTTTGTTTTCTTGTTCATGGTTTAGGCCTGAGCGCCATAGCCGGTGCTGGTCTGCCTAGTGTTTTTGGGACCGGAGTAGCTTTATACTTTGGAGCGTTGTTTGGTTTGCCCAAGTCCTTGTTGGACGGGCTTCTTTTACAATATTTTGTCTCGCCTCGGCAAGCATCTGGAGTGTTCAGGGGGCCTGGGATACATGTCATGATCAGATTCAAAGAGATTTGTTTTGGGATTTGGGAGGCCCTCGAGCCTGGTTTTGCAATGCAGCGGTAGACTGCATGTGTGTAGCTATTGTTAACTGGGTATTGGCGCTGTCTGGTTGCGACAACGCGGCTTCAGCGCTGCGAGACGAGAATATACGAATGTTCAAATACTTGCAGGTTTCAATATGTGACTGTGACACGATACGATAATGGCTTGGAGTGAGTGATCTCAGGTGTGACCATGTCTGACGAGAAATGATGGTGTAGCTACGACATGAGCGATTTGTTGAAGCGTGGTTGCCACTAACTAACTTGGTGGGTAAAGATTGATTTGCCAATTGCAGAGGCTTGAAGTTGGCATCGATTTCTCGATATGCATTTCTGATTTGTGCTGTGCCATGAATTCTGTTTGCAATGCTTTTCAGATGTCAAGTTCAGCTCACAATTGATAGCTGTAGCTGTAGTAGCTGTCGCCTCAATAACCCCACATCATAATAAACTCCGCGGTGATAGTAGCTAGGTACCTTAGCCCGTGCAGCGTCTCATTATCAACCACAGCCACGCAATTGGGCCCTCCATGGAGACCATCCATGGCATTTGCACTGGATCCTCGGTAAAGGAAGAGAAAATTAGAACCAGCTCCATTACATAAGGTACCTAAATCGGGGTAGCATGGGCTTGAGTGGGGAATGAACGCATCGCCGTCTTCATTTCAAGGAGTAAAGGAAGGAGAAGGAGAGATTCTTCAAGAAAGTGATGATGCTCGTGACGTCACTTTCCCGCAAATGGTCAACAACCTTACCCGACAAGAACAGTACATATTGAGGTACTGTACGCTCGTGAACTCTCGTCGTCTCCTCCCCTGCAGCTGTTTCTATCTTTTCTCTTCCTCTTTCATCTCTATATATCGAATCCTTCACGAATCATCACATAAACTTCATATCAACAAGATGATGTCAGCTCGTTCCATGATGGCCCTGCGCACTGCGCACACCAGCAAGATCATCCTCGGACGAGGTCTCTTTACTACATCGACACGTCTAGGTCTCAAGGAATCATCCACCCGTAAGTTTGAGTCTCCCACGATCCAATTGAACGCGTCTAACACGCCCCAGACACCGACGTCGACTACGACAAGCACAAGCAAGACTCCCTCAGGAAGCAGAAGGAGGGCAGCGGCCACTGGAAGCCAGAGCTCGCCTCAGACAGCGAGGAGGCCGTCAAGGCGGACAGATCGGACATTGATCCTGCCAAGGACATCAAGAACCTCCAAGAGCGAACCAAGAAGGCTGCCGAGGAGACTCACAAGGCTGGTACCAGCACACGGGATAACATGTAAAGAACTGTTATGGATTGGCGATTTGATCAATTGGTTTGGGAGTTATGGTATTGCCAGATAGACTGGAATGTCTCTGCAAAATAGTTATTAATGAAAACTATCCATGATGATGCCTTTGAGTTCTGTTCGGTGTATGTGTAATTGTCCCAACCTCGCCTTTTACAAACATGATCCAATCAGGCTCTGCTGGCGAGCTTCTGCTTTAGCTTCGCCTCTCGTTTCTTTTGCATGTGAAGGGTTTTACCCAACTCGGACATTGTGTATTCCTGTCGGCGACCGACGCTTGCACGTCTTGTGGTGACGTTATATAACTCGAGTTGGTAACAAAACTATCGTGTTTACCTCCACGAGAAAACAGCATTCAAACTGACACATAAATAACTCAACTGCAATGAACAGCTCCCAATTGACCAATCCTTGTGTATTCACTTCCCCTTGAAAGGCGGTCATCTCCTTCGAAGTGTTTATATATTATCAAGTGCTGCGTTACAGGGTTAGCTCCATGCCCCTCTAAAGCTCCTCTTATCGATAAGCCCCAAAGTTCAAGCTCCTCCATTTTATTATTTCGCCGGTCTCGGTCGGTCCAAACCTCCGAAGCTTCTAATATATCTCTCTTTTCCTCCTCGGGCCTCGTCCAGCCCATTGATTCTCCCTGGGACGTTCCCTCTACCAAGCTGTACACTAAGGACTCCCACCCACCTTCGAATCATGTCCGCAAATCCTCCGACCTTCCAATCCGCCCTCCTCGCTGGTGCACTCGCTGGTACAACCGTCGATCTCTCTCTCTTCCCTCTCGACACACTCAAGACCCGTCTTCAGTCATCGGCCGGTTTCTTTCCCTCCGGCGGTTTCAGCGGTATTTATCGCGGTATAGGTTCTGCGCTTGTCGGTTCTGCTCCGGGTGCTGCGTTCTTCTTCTGCACATACGAGGGCGTGAAGGGCTTCCTGGCTGATAAGGATAATACTTCTGCGCCAGGATGGAAGGCTCCCATTACACATATGGCAGCTGCTAGCGCTGGTGAGGTGGCAGCTTGCGCCGTTCGTGTGCCAACCGAGGTTGTTAAGCAGCGTGCGCAGGCGGGTCATCATGGTGGTTCTTCGGCTGCTGCTCTGCGGGCCATTCTGTCACGGTATTCGAGCCATGGGTTTGTTCCAATGTGGAGAGAGCTATATCGCGGTTGGGGAATCACCGTTTTCCGCGAGGTGCCATTTACTGTGATTCAATTCCCGCTATGGGAGGCCATGAAGTCCTGGGGACGACGTCGCCGCGGTGGTCGTGAGGTCACTGGTGCTGAGAGTGCTCTCTATGGAAGCATGGCTGGTGGATTATCTGCGGCACTGACGACGCCGCTTGATGTACTCAAGACGAGAGTCATGCTATCGAAGGAGAGTGTTTCAGTATCGGAAGTATTTGGCCGGATATTGCGCGAGGAGGGCAGCAGAGCTTTCTTTGCTGGTGTAGCACCACGAGTTACATGGATTTCTATTGGAGGCGCGATTTTCCTGGGAAGCTATCAGTGGGCTATTAACACCATGAACGGCGTTGTATGATAGTGGGAAGTGATATAAGAAATCAACAAAACGGGTGGAATTGTACAATGTAAAACACGGAGCAAGGAGCATGGAGTCAAGAGACGGGCGTTCCGAAAGAAATAGAGAGAAGCTTAACTTCTCCCAAATGGTATATACGCCTTGACGGCATCTGACCTATGTACAAATCTATATACGATAAATGAAATAGCTGGTGACAAAAGTCCACCCTTCTGGCACACGACACCACACAACGGGTTGAAGAGTCTCGGGATCTCATCTTCTCATTCAGCGTGTAAGCTGCGGGTTGTTTTGGCTCAGCTGGCTTGGGCTTGGGCTTGAGGCTGGGGAGGGACTTGACCATTAGTATTTGCCTCTTCAGCTGCAGCGCCGTCTTGAGTTTCTTCGGGCTCAGCAGGCTTAGGCTCTGGAGGCGGCGGGAATGGTCGAATCTCCTTTTTGCCATTGGCCTTGTAATGAAGGACAATATCGTTACCCCCCTTCCACAGATGAGTTCGGAGAGTGGCCAGTGTCGTAGCAGGGGAAAGTAACTGAATAAATGTTAGCAAGTGTAATTGTCTGTGATCGTACACGAGTAAACAAGAGATGATTACCTGTTCGTTGCAGTACAGTTCTAAATACTCCTCTGGCTTCATAGGACTCTCTTCGGGCTCCTCAAGTGGAGGTTCAATCCTTTCTGCAACATATGAGAGAATCTTCTTGACTCGAAGCATGCGGTTAGCGTTGAGCCTGTTGTTTCCATCGGCCGAAGCAATAGCTGGGAGAGTGTCGTCCATCGGATACAAGACGAACGAAACCTTTACAGGCTCTTTGAAGGGGAGTGTGTTTTGAAGAAGAACATCACCTAGCCACATGGGAGCCTTCTGTTCGATTACATCTGCGTCCTTGCCAACGTCCTGGACAGTGCCCTGATACAAGTTGGCGCTGCCTCCTGTGGTCTCCTCTTGAATAACTACCTTAGTTCCTGGCGGGAGCTTCAGAACGGGTGTATCACTAGGCAAACTGGGTACCACTCGTGACTCGACCGGCTTGTCAGGGTTGTCGGCTAGTTGCCGCTCGTATTCCTGGTGGATCTTCTGAATCGTGCCAAAGAAACTGTCATCAACCTCCTTCTCTTTTTCATGGACAGACGAAGACTCGGACTCTTCTGTTTTCTCCTCCACAACCGCAGGCTTCTCTGTGGTGGCCTGGGACGCCGACCTTGAAAGCTTCTTGGTGCCAAAAGTCATTCTAAACTTCTTCTTGCCAAATGGTGTGCTTGGGGACTTTGCACTGTCCGCCTTGTCCTTGTCCTTATCTTTGTCCTTCTCTTTATCACCATCTATAGACTTCTTGGAGTCCGCTTCGTTCTGCGTGGGGGTCGACACCATGCTTGCTGCCTTGACTGCCGATTCGAGCAGCTGTAGGGGACTTGTGAAGTAGTCTTCCTTCTCCGTCGAAGGGCGGCTGACGTGCGAGGTTCTCTTTTCTATAGGAGTCATTGGACTTGTGGCCGCGTTTTCAGGAACATCGGGCAAGCTGTTTGGGCCTGACATAATGCTTGGACCAGGCGTTGCCAAACCAATGCCTAGACCTGGAGTATTAGGATAGAGATTGGGCTTTGGAGTAACCTGGTCTGCGTTATCCCAGTCCGGGATGGCTGACTTTGGTAATGATATCGATAATGGAGCAGCTTCAGTAGTTCCTCCACTAGCAATTTGCCTCGCCTCAAGACCCTCATTGAGTTTCTGACGGTGTGCCTCATCTCTTCTGATCTCTTCATCAATGAGATCGGCAAAGAGATACCTAAGGATCCATTTTCCAAGGCTGACTGGAAGAGTGTTAGCTGTGTCCTTGCAGTCATCGAAAGCGGACTTACTTCTCTGGTCCTCTCGAAATTCTATGTTATCTGGCAGATCTAGCTCGTCTGCGTATACTTCAGCATCAAAACAATTAAAGGGCTCTAGAACCACAGTAAGATTTCCCGAGCTGAGATCAATAGAACACCAAGGGGCCACGGCCTCAACGGTGTTGACGAGATGCTCCACATCCTCCAAATGCTGTTTGCCAAAACTTTTAATGGGTTTACACTGAAAAGGTCAGCTGTATCCATGCTCAGAATATGTCAGACAAACCTGGATCAAATCCCATAGTAATACGTCGCCAGCTGTGTCTGACGTCAACACACGCCTCCTATCGTTGAGTAGCCTATGCTTGAGCAATCCGAATTGCCCCTCAATCGTTTCTTCAGCCACTGCATGGATGGGTTTGATTTCGGGCTCTGAAGAATCTATAATGGCTTCGGACCCCTTCCGTGCTGTAGCATCCGTGATAGTGGCAGAATCGGGATCTGGACCAGATCGCGGAGGGAAAGAAGCAGCTGCAGAGATACGCAAGATGGACTCAGCTGGGATCTCCTTCTTTGTAGTTCCGTTAGTAGTAGCCGGAGGAGAAGTCTCGCGGGGTCTGCTGGAAGCATTCGATGTAGCTCTGTGGTGTCGAACAGAGTCCGGAAGCTGGATGTTGGTGCCCGTGTCAACGTCTTCCCATCGGTTAATTGATGACCTATTCGTTGCTGTCCAAATGTGACCTCCAGCTGCGACAACCTTGCCCACTCCTATATGCTCATGCGCCACAGCTAGACTCAGGCCATCATCCATATCCTCAAGGCTACCGCGCACATCTGTTTTGGCGACCAACCCCGAGCGATCAGAACTGTAGAAGACACCCAGGCTCGGGTCATCCGAGAACAGTGACCAAACACTCTCATCGTGCATGGAGAAAGTGTACATGCATCGACCGTTCTTGATGCTCCACATTTTGACCGTTTTGTCGGCACTGGCACTCAAAATTGTGTCGCCAGCATCGTCTATAAGAATAGCACGGATATTGTCGACATGACCAACAAGTTTTGAAACCTTATCACCAGTTCGGGGATCGTACAAGCGCACCGTCTTCTCGGGGCCACCACTCGCCATGATATTTCTCCCCACACGAAGGGCATAGACAGAACCTTTCTCGGCAATTTCTTCACCCTGCACGTCAATCTCGAGTGTCTTTCCAGCGCCATTGAGATCCCATAAGCATATTTTGCGGTCCAGACCACCGGATGCGACCCAGTTTGCGCCCATATCTGGGGGCGGGGTTGTAACACATTTGACATAATCAGCATGTTCGCCTATCGTCTCGGTGCGGTTCTTGTCCTCTTCAGAATATGGCCGCCAAACCTTGACTGTAAGGTCAGATGAGCCAGATACGAGGGCAGTATTGTTTTGAGCGAGGGCAATGTCGTTGATCCAGTGCATATGGGCGTGAGTCTGAGCGCGAAACTTGGTCGTGTGCTTCGGCTTCTTGTCTTCGGAATTGGCAGGCGTCGGGTCGGTAACATCGCTGCGGCCTTTGAGGTCGAGGTTCAGGTCCCAAGCGCATACTATGCCATCTCGGCCACCTGAGTATCTGAATAAGGTGATGTTAGAGCTGCACAGATCGGACCGAGGGTGTCGGTGTGAAAGGGCTCACAGAATCGCATTGTCGTTGTCGACAGCAAGGCCATTGACACCTAGACGATGGCCGCCTTCAGATGATTTGGCATTTTCGAGGACTATACCTGTGTCAGCAACTGTTCCGAAGATGAGGGCATACAAGAGAGCATAATTCAACGAGCGAGGTTGTTGGGGATAAAGTCTCACCATAACTGATTCTCTGGCGTGCCTTCTTAGCCATGACTTGAATACCTAGCTAAGTACCAACTTAGCTTACTGAAGCATGCGCAAGTAACGGCAAGACAGGTAGCACAAGCGACGGGAAGGCGCAGAAAGACGCGACCACGGGGAGAAGTGGAAAGAAGTAGTATTAGGTAGGTAGTCTGTGGTCTGAATTGAGCACCTCACCTAGATTGGGTACCTTATGTCTTAATGCTGTGTGTAGTGGTAGTGGAAGATGGTAGGTCGTGATGATTGCGGAATGCGGGATGGGGAAGCTTGAAAGTGGAGGTGCCCCGACCTCATGGCAAGTATGTACAGTACGTACCCTGGGTATTTACCTTACCTTAGCTGGCGACGGACATGACGCCGAGTAGGGAATATGCGACGAACGGGTTTGACGGCGGATCAAATGGACCTTTCCTTGTTTAATCGACGAATATGAAGTACAGTATCCCTGGGGTTCAATTCATGCTGGAGGGGGATTAGGATTGGGATTGGGACTGGGGGTTGGTGTTGGGGCCGATGAACCGCTAGTTAGAGTACAGTAAAGGATTGACAGCCTTCACTGAGTCTGTAGGTACCTAGGCAGGCGGGAGTCCTCGTGAGCCCGCTCTAGACTCTTGACTTGGAAGCTGGAGAACTGACAGACCCCCGCCTGCAAGCTGTGCCCCTGTACCCCTGTCGCCCACTCAAATACCTGGGCTCTCAAGCCGTCAACGGCGGGGCTTGACTGCACATCCGCCATGGGCTGCGCTGCCCAGGACAATTCTTAATTGACAGCCATCCAATCCAGTTCAGTTCCATCAATTCAAGTCCACTTGTCAGTTGTGGCAGTGGCTCGTTGACATCTGCAATCGAGTATTGGTGGACGTCGGTCTGGTATGTGATATCTGTTTACTTACTTGCATGGTGTCAGTATTCGATTCGAATGTTTGTTTGAAAAATGTCAATTGAGCCTAATGTCTCAGATCCTGTGCACTCTTGTCGTCCACTCACATGCTCCCAAGGACATGACTGCATCAACAACCTCATAAAAACATGCTAGAATAAGGTACCTTCATAACGCAAGATGTAAGATTTCCCGGGTCGTCAAGACCAAGTCCAAAAGCTCCATAAACTCCAAGTAATTGGTTTTCCAAGGAAATAGCCTCTCCATACTCCAGGCTCCAAATATAAACCCGCCGTGTTTTT